ACCTAGGGGGTAAAACAACACGGTACACAACCTCACTAACCTTCTCTAATACCTCAAATGGTCCAATGTATCTAGAACTCAACTTTCATTTATTTCCAACCCTGATGACTCCTTTCCATGGTGATCCTTTCAAGAATACCATATCCCCCACATGAAACTCTAAGTCTCTCCCGGACATAGCTTGGGAGGCTAGAGGTGGACATAGTGTAGTTGTTTTACTTTTGATGTATTACATGTAACTTCAAGCCAAGGGCTTAATGTGTAAACGAGTTAGTACTCTTTTGTTGTAACCAAGTGTTAACTTGGAAAGCTGTAAGCCCGTAGGGCATTTTGTTTTGATGTTAACATGTAATACTTATGTAATGAAACTCAATGAAATAAAGAAATGTGGTTAGTTTATATGTAAATGCATGTCTTATCTGATGGGTTTAATGTTATTATTTTGAGGGCGTTACAACTCATTCTTCCAAGGAGTATGTATATATTTTGTTACAACAAGCTATCTCATTCAAACTATTTGCTTAAGGATAAGGATTCACTACAAGAAATTAAGGTTTTAAAGACAAATTTTTAGGGACAAAATTAATTTGTTTGTAAAAATTATACTTTTAAGGACAAAATGAAAGAATTTTTAAAAATATATATTTAATCATGTTATTACATATTCTAGACAAATTTATTTGGTTGTAAAAAGATCAGTCACTTTTCCTTATAATTTTAATTGGTCTCTAATAAACCCAAATCATATCCCCTAATAAACCCAAATCATATATTATTGTATTTTATATATTAATTTTTGAGCTCGTAGTCGGGGAACAAAAACAAAAAAAGGTTTCATCACTCACTCTCTCCCTCTCTCCTTCTCTCTCAAATCTCTAACACTATGTTTGGGAGCTTAGGAGAGAAAAGAAAAGAAAAGATTACTTAAGTTATAAGAGAAAAGAAAAGAAAAGAAATGATTGTGATTTCTCTCCTTTTTGTTTGGATAAAGAAGAAATAAAAGAAAAGAAATGATTGTGATTTCTCTCTTCTTGTTTGGTTAGATTTCATTAAGAGAAAAGAAAAGAAATTATTTTATGTTATATTACTAAAATAACCTTTTTATATTTTCAATCATTTTGTTTCTTTTATTTTTATAGGGACAAAATTGATATTATGAAAATAATGGTTTCTTTTCTCTCCCAATCTCTCCACTTTTGGAAAGATTGAAAATGAGACTTACAAGAGAAATGAGTTTCTCTCCATTTCTCTCTATTTCTCCCATTTCTCTCCACTTAAATTATCCAAACAAGTAAGAGAAATACATATCTTTTCATTTCTTTTCTTTTCTCTCCAAATCACTCAATCCAAACATAGCGTAAATTTTGCCACAGAGATGGGATCAAAATCTGCAAAGACTTCTCTGCATAAAGGAAATTGTTATAAGACAAAAGCTAAGCAGGGGCACCACGCTGAAGAAAGGACTAGACAATATAATATAAAATTGGAAAAATAATCTGTCATTTTCTTAAAAGAAACATAAATATTTTATAGGAACAGTACCTGAATATGTGCCTTCTGGTGAGAATCGCTGGCCATGTAAGTTCAGCCAAAGCCCCCGAAAAGATGAGAAGCTCAAACAATTTCCTGCAAGTAGTCAAGAATATAATGCAAACCAAGAAAACTGTCACATGGAACTCTATTTAAGAAGATAGGCTTTTGGAATTGATAGAGGTAAATGAAAATGAGTTGAGCTAACATACTTATCATCATGTACAGTGAGTCCCCATTCTTCATCGTGGAAAGCAGCATAACGAGGGTCTGGTTCGAAAATATGAAAATTGATGAGCAGATAGTAATAAGAGGTAAGTAACCAGAGCATCAATCAGTGGGAAAACACACATGCACAAGCACAAAACAAAACAAAAAATAGTGACAGAAGGTAGAGTCAGCGCATCTAGGTGATAACTAGCTGTTTCAGCATCCCGAGTTGGACCGGGTAAGGCATGGCCTAGGTGGCTCCAAGCAAACTTTTTTACCTCAATGAAAGTATACCAATACAAACAAATTATTGAAACATTTAACAGAATACCAAGAAAATACAATAGAAAACACCATTTTTTAGATCTAAAGTGCTTGTGCACGTGAAACGATCAACTTGATCTTTAAAAGAAACAACAAAACTTAAATCTAGATTTCACACAAGTCATCAGATAAAATTAGAAGTACAAGACCAAATAGCAGAGCTTCCATCACATAACATAAAAGTGCAGTACCCGCATCAAGAGTATCTTCACAACCATTAACAATTTTGGTTATTTCATCACATACAATCAACAAAAGTACAGCTGAATGGTCCAGATTTAAAAACTAGATGGAAAAACGAAAAAATGAAAAAAAAAAAAAAAGAAACACAGAAACAAAGAAAGGGAAAAAGAAAAATTAATAGGGAAAAAAAAAAAAGAAACACAGAAACAAAGAAAGGGAAAAAGAAAAATTAATGGGGAAAAAAAAACATGGTGAAAGGTTGGAAATGAAAACATTATTCTGGTTCGTTTGGTTATTCATTACATTTAACTAGTAGAAACTTTTAAGAACTATCCAGTAATACATGTGATAGGATACACCACTACAAACAATCCATTGATTACCGTTGCCCACTATAAGCCAGGATGAATGTGAATAAAACCAGGGGCACTGCATCAACACAACACTTTCACAATACAAATCAAGAAGACAAGAACTGTGTATTATCACCAACTAAATTCCATTAGCTAGTCACGTCAAAATACTGCACCATTGCCTTCAGCGTAAATTTTAGCATTCCATTAAATAGTGAATCCAAGTCATGGTTCACTCAATTGGTCACATTTCAAAAACCATACGTTAAATCATATATATATGGTTTTATAAAAAATTTAAAAAAATCTGCTGGTAGGTCAAAAGAAGAGGAGCTTTCACATAAAGCTACATTACAATTACAAGGGCAACAACGTTTTTTGGCCCATAAAGTGGCCCATTATAGCTTATGGGTGACTGCAATGAGTAGCATGAAGTTGATCAAAGCTTATGAGCAACTACCACAATAAATAATGACCAGTCAAATAAAAGTTTATGACATCATATAAGGTTCCAAAACTAAAAGGCAATTTTAAAATACAAATGTGTGATGTGATCCAGAAGCCAAATAAGGATTATTAAAAAGAAAGACATGTAAAATGCAATCAATAAAACAAGACAGACAGAAAGAACATTTTAAGAACAACCAAATGCATCTGAAACTCTTAAAGTAGGATAGATTGAGGAGGTCTGGAAAAGACAAATGACAATGAAAATTTTGAGAGATGATAAAATAGTATCCAACAAAATGCTATTAACAGAAAAAAAAATGATTTCCTCCATTGCCACATAATGGCAATTTCCATGGGATATGGTGTAATGCGTGAATAAAAATAAAATATCACATTGCCTTTAGATTGCTTACCTTCAAAACATGGGAAGTAAAAACCACAAAAGTTGCATGAATTCAAACTTCTTAACCAAAAAGTTCAAAATTAGCACTTTGCACTTTCGATATGAAGCAGACAAATAAGATGAAATTAAATCACACATCTATTTGCAAATATACCATAGATCATGATGCATACAAAGAACTCAACCAATACATCGGCCATAGAGCAACAGGCTAAGAATTCTAAACAAATGGCATACCAGCTACAGTCTTACCAAGTAGTTTTAAATACTACAATGGCAAAGAATGCTTTTTCGTAAAGTATTAAAAAGAAAACTACAACTATTCAATAAGACATAAATTAAAATAAATGAAAACTACTTTCTGCAGACAAGACTAATAACATAGAATGTCAGAGACATACTCATCACATTATCACAAAAGATTAGATTCAGCATTAGTCTCGGTTCTGGGCTCATGTTGACCCAAACCAAGCCTACATTAAACAAAACATACATTCCATGAAGATCTTAATAACACCATGGCACATATTATGCAAAGTGTTGCCCAATGTGGCTTAATTCTCAAAAACAAATTCAATGAAGTCCTACACCATAATTCAACAGATTGGCCAAGCACCTTCATTTTAATATATTAAACAGCCAAATGAAAACAAAGCCATGTTGCTAGCCTACTAAGAGCAGCTTCTTTCATCTGTCAAAATATGACTAGCCAGAAAATTACTAGCATTGATAATTTCGTCATGAGAAATCAAACATGAAATACAGTACACATACTTTCAACGAATCAAACCAAAAAGAACCTACCAGTATTTGGTGTCACCCAGGCACACCTTTTCTTGGGTTGTAAGCTGCCAGGTAGAGCCTCTGAAATGGCATCAGATACACTAATTTCTGACTTAATGGCTAATTGCTTCCTACGGACGGACATACTATTTCTCCTATATATCCTACCAGTTGATGCACGACTATGAAATGAATCCGAAGATGCATCAGACGAACACGAAGCATTGAGTGATAAATTAGAATGCAGTAAATGCTCTTGTCTACTAAGTGCCGACGGAATACTAACTGAATGCGACAAAGGTATCAATGGTGAAGCAACAGTGGATGATGGAAGACCATTACTCTCTTCTGCCAATGCCGCAACCTCCTCTAGCGAATTCTCTTCAGTTCTCAGTGTCTTCATCATGGGTTTACGGGCACTCCCCAACCTCTGTACCTTGTTACCCGCAGGTCCAAAGACCGGTCTGGCCTCCGAACCAGCCAAGTTTGATGATCTAACTCTTGGAGCTCCTGACATCTAAAGAAACCCCTTCAGTTCTACACAAATCTCTGTCAAAGTTCCCCAAATCTTCCACATCCACCAGACTTCAGGTTTAATTCATTCAAATGTTCAATAAACACAATGAAACCCTAACTATCATTCAAAACCCATCTTCTTCTCAGAGCTACCAATATAGATTTTTAACTTTTGGGACCTCAAATTACCAAATTAAACAACCACCAACCCAGAAGCACACACAAATCCACCCAAAACTCACCACCATTCATCCACCTCAATCTCAGAGCTCCCCAACAAAAGATTACAACCCTCAAAATCAGCACATATTACACTTTTCACTATTTCTAGAACTCAGTGAAACCCTCAAAATCACATCAAACCGCCATTTCCAGAGAATTTAAACTTCAGATTCCCTCTCGAAACCCCAGAAATATATCTATATATATATTATACATTGAAATCTGTCAAATGAAACCCACTTTTTGACCAAAGCTAGGGCTTCCAAAACCCTAATATATATACATATCTTTGATTATACACAGCTCATTTGTATAGACAGCTGTAAGGAGATTACAAAGGGTATGTAAAGAAAGTTCATTTCAATAATGAGGTCTCAGAGAGCCTCGAAACGTAGAGATACCATTGTGCATTGTATTAAAAAAAATAAAAATCTAAGCTTTTTTATTGTGAGTGTAAAGATCGAACTGGGTCTTAGTGCTTGCTTTTTTATTTTACAGAGAAAAAAGCTGACAGTGGTGATAATAATAATAATAATAATAATGAGAATTTTCTCATGATATTTTCCAGGAAAGTGGAAGCAGGATACAGAATGCGGGAAAGTGGGTCTGGGTCTGGAGGAACGTACCTGAGAGAGAGAGAGAGAGAGAGAGAATTGATCGAAAGAGAGGAATCGAAAAACAAAGAGAGAGAGAACAGTGTGATCTGAGAGAAGGTATGTTTGGTTTGAGTTTGGGAGATGAGTTTTAAAGATAAAAAGTACGAAAAGTTATTTGGTTTGATTTTTTTCAAAAGATGTTTTGGAAAATTATTTTGAAAGAATGTTTTGGAAAAAGTGATTGATTTGATGTGTATAAGAGAGAGATTTGTTTGGAAAACTTATAAACCAAACAAGTTTTGAGAAATTTTTTTGGGAAAATTTGTTTGGTTTGATTACTTTTGAAAACTTATTTGTAGAGAATTTTTCCTAAAAATTTTTGGGAAACACAAACCAAACAAGGCCGAGTTTCTCTTTCTAGATTTGAAAGAGAGAGAGATAGCGAAAGAGAATGAGTGAAGATTGGGGATTTCATTTTGTTCATTTATTTTCGGGTAAATTACAAACAGATCCTCTGAATTTGCTTAAATTATAAATTAGCTATTATGGTTTTACAAATTACATTACATCCCCAAGGTGTTTAATTTCATAACAAATAGGTCTTTTTATTAATAAATTATCAAGTAAATTAATAATTTTTAATAATTTTAAAATTTTATTTCAATTAATAATTTAGATAATTTTATTATTATATATGTGAACAGTAAGAAATTTTATTTTTTTAATTAATTCTGTTAAATGAAAAATTCTGACATTGAGATATTTTTAATTTTCCAAACCACAGAAGACAATTCGTATTTTAAGCAAATCTCAGGGAGTGTATTTGTAATTTACCATTTATTTTCAGGTAAATTACAAGAAAAATGTTTGGAAACTTGAATTTGTGTAGCTCGAATTGCTTGAATATATCAAAATGACATCGTGTTATCCTCAAAATGATGTCGTTTTGCGATATTCGAATCATTCGGTCTATGAAAATTCAAGCTACCAAGCATTGTTGAAATTACAAATATAAAATATCAATTATTTTTTGGGATAAATTATAAATACATTATGAAGTTTTAAATTTTATAATATTAATAAATTATCAAGTAAATTAATAGTTTTTAATAATTTTAAAATTTTATTTCAATTAATAATTTAGATAATTTTATTATTATATACGTGAACAGTAAGAAATTTTACTTTTTTAATTAATTCTGTTAGATGAAAAATTCTGACATTGAGGTATTTTTAATTTTCCAAACCACAGAAGACAATTCGTATTTTAAGCAAATCTCAGGAAGTGTATTTGTAATTTATCATTTATTTTCAGGTAAATTACAAGAAAAATGTTTGGAAACTTGAATTTGTGTAGCTCGAATGGCTTGAATATATCAAAATGACATCGTGTTATCCTCAAAATGATGTCGTTTTGCGATATTCGAATCATTCGGGCTATGAAAATTCAAGCTACCAAGCATTGTTGAAATTACAAATATAAAATATCAATTATTTTTTGGGATAAATTATAAATACATTATGAAGTTTTAAATTTTATAATCACTTCTTTTATTAATAAATTATCAAGTCAATTAACAATTTTTAATGGTATTAGAAACATGTTTTAATTAATAATTTAAGTAATTTTATTATTGTATAAGAGAGCAATTATGAACTTCATTTTTTTATTTAATTCTATTAAATAAAAAATTATGATAATGGAATATTTATAATTTTTCAAATCACAGGAGTAATCTGTATATTAAGTAAATCTCAAAAGATATATTTGTAATTTACCCTTATTTTTTAAATTTAAAGAAATTACATCATGCTCCGTAAAGTTTCAAACTCAAGGTCCTTCTTTTTTATTAATAAATTATCAAGTTCATTAATAATTTTAAAATTATTATAAATTTATTATATAAAAAATTAATTATAATTTTATTTTTTCAATTAATTTTGTTAAATCAAAAAATTTGAAAAAGATTTATACTAATTTTTTAAATTTCAAGAATAATTTATATTTTAAATAAATTTTTAGAATGTATTTCTAATTTATTCTTTATTTTATTACATGGTGACCGGATGATCTGGTTTTTGAGATGGTGGATTACCGGCTATATCCGGTTTGGATTTTTTGAAAGATTATGTGAATTTTTAATTATGGTTAATTAGATTTTTATTTTATAGTTTTAGTCTTATAGTTTTAATTTGAATAATTTAATTTTTATATTTTAAGTTTAGTTTTAATTTCATCTTTTATCTAAATTTTAATTAATTTTTTCTACGTGTATACCTTAGAAGATTAATAAATATTCCAAAATAATTAATTTTAACTTTTAATTTGAACGGAATGACTAACTGAAAAATAAAAGAGATCAAAATAAAACTTGAGTCAAACTATTAACATTAAAGGTATAATTAACATTTTTTATTGGGATTTTTATTGATAAGTCTAATTTAGAAGTGTTTTAACCCAAGAAGTTCATGAAGGAATTTTTTAACTCATTTAGTCCCATGTATGTATAGTTTTATTCCATAAAGTTCATTTTCATGATTTACATTTTTTTACGTGTATACCTTAGAAGATTAATAAATATTCCAAAATAATTAATTTTAACTTTTAATTTGAACGGAATGACTAACTGAAAAATAAAAGAGATCAAAATAAAACTTGAGTCAAACTATTAAGATTAAAGGTATAATTAACATTTTTTATTATTAACTTTAGTATAAGTATACTTTTATATTTTACTAAAAAAAAATATGCTATCCGATACTTTTTATCACTTTATTTCTTCCATAAATATTTCGATAATATACAAATAAGCTTCTATTTATTATTGTTAAGTTTCTTGGAATACCTATAAATAAGCTTTTTATATAATAGTTTTATCACACTATCATTTGAGTATTGAAGAGTTAACACATTGATTGGGATTATTATGCATTTTTCCCCTTAATTAATTTTTAATATTAGTTTCTCTATTTTTTTAGTTATAGTTAATTATAATTTTTAGTCCCTAAAATATGTTATTTGTATTATTTTGGTTTCCAGTGTTTAAATTGTATCAATTTGGTCCATAATATATAAAAACTGCTTCAATTCGATCCCTCAATCTAATTTCATCAATAGATGTGGTTAAAGCTAAGAATAAATGTGAAAATTCACTTTAAAAATTATACTTTTATTCTCTAAATTATGTGATCAGTATCAATTTAGTCACTTAAATTACACATTTACTCTTAATTTTAATAGTGTCTATTGACGGAGTTTGATTGAAAAACCGAATTGAAATTTTTTTTTACACATCGAAAACCAACATGATACAAATCTCATACTTTGAGGATTAAAAATGAAATTAACCATTTCATTGATTAGTTTCCCCCAAAAAGACAAGAATTTAGCTATTTTCTTTTATTTTTTTCATATTTTCTCTTTTCTTTTTCCTTTTTTGTTCATGAATTCATGATTGAAACAAAACATACAAAAAGCATTTTGACTAAAACTTGTTTTATAAGAAAAGGGAATTAACAAATTAACGATTTATTTTTATTTATTCTTCAAAGAAACTATTTTGTTGAACAATTATATTTTTGGATTTTCCTTTATGGTGTCAACATGGCAATAAATGTTTTCCAATTTCTAACAGTAAAGTTGACAAAGCAATTGGAGATTACTTGAGAAAGCAAATCAATTTTTTTCCCTAAATATTTGATGATTTGAAAGTTCATTTCTGTTGAAAAATTTAATGTTATTTGTAGTTCTACTTCACCTTAATATTTTGAAAGTGACAAATTATATTTTTATTATCTTTGGGTAATTAATAAAAATTTTCTTTTAAAATTAAGAATGAGAAGGATAGCTACCTAGAGGAAGAATTGAATGGCCAAACTTTTTCTATAATTATGACTATATAAAAACTTGTGTTTGATTACTATTTTTTATATTTTCATAATTTTTTTTTTTTCTCTCTTAGGTAGGATGTTAGTAGGGGTGTAAGTTATTGGAGTTTGTTGGGTTGAAAGAAAATTTAGCATTCCGTCAAATCCTTCAATTTTGTCAATTGAGGAATTGAAATTGACTGCATATTATGGTTTAATTTGGGATATTTTAGGATTATGGTTAAAAGTTAATTTTTGACTTTTAACCAAACTTTTTTATTTTTTTGAAAAGTGATTTAGGAAGTTGGTAAAAAATTATTTTTTTACCTTTGGGGTTAATATTTGTTTATGATATCACATCAAAATAAAATAACTAAAAGGGAGCTTTTTTGATAAATCCATTTTCTAAGAGCTTTATTCCATCCAACCCATATTCTTTTTGACTATTCCATTAGGTCCAATTTGAGATAAGAAGACCAAAATATCCTTTTTATCTACTTATGTTCCATTTAGTTCACATTATTTTCTTATGTTTCAATAAGTCCTATGGGTGACATAATTACCAAAATACCCCTAATGTGAATGTTCACACCATCAATATAAAGACATGTTAAAATTCACATTAATAGGAGTGTAAATTGGCCCTCGTCCCGTGGCGGCGCGAAACCCGCCCGCGGCCCATGGCGGCCCGGGGCGGGCCCGGTCCGGCCCGTTGAAAATGTGAATATTACAATTGACATGTTAACATTCACATTGATAAGAGTATAAAATTGGACCGCGGCCCATGGGCGGCCAAAAGCCCGCCCGCAGCCCGGGTCGGGCCCGGCCCGGCCCGTTGACAATGTGAATATTCACATTGACATGTTAACATTCACATTGATAGGAGTGTTAAAATTAGCCCGCCGCCTCGTAACTGCCCGAAACCCGCCCACGGCCCATGGCCGGGCCCGGCCCCGCCTGTTGACAATGTGAATGTTCACATTGACATGTTAACATTCACATTGATAAGAGTATAAAACTAGACAGCAGCCAGGGTGGGCCTGACTCGGCCCGGCCTAGCCCGTTGACAATGTGAAATATCACATTGACATGTTAACAATTCACATTTAATAGGAGTGTAAAATTGCCCCCGTTCCGTGGCGGCGCGAAACCCGCCC